AAATATTTTCTCCTTTACTTCTGTCATTATTTAAACGGATCTTTAAAATATATTAGAGGACTATCTTAAAGAAATCTGTTTAAATAATGACAGAAGTAAATTAACGAATACGAAAATATTTTTAAAGGTCGCCAATATTTTTAAAGGCCGTTAAATATAAAGGAATTGTTACAGAATAGACCCCATAGGGTCTTATAAAAAATAAATAAATACCACTAATTTGTTATCGGTTTTTGAGGAAAAAAGCTAACCGAATGTAATTTTTTGTGACTAATCTTTTGGCATTCTACGAATATAAAAGGAATCGAAAATATTTTCTTCTATAGGGCGAGTCGGAATTTAGTAAGGACATATAGCCCATATTTGGAGACAATAATAATTTTTTGCACAAAGGAAATAAATCACGTCAAACAACGAACGTAAAGATGCAGATCAAAATAGAATGACGCGGTTACTGCTGCATGTTTAGTTGATCAGTGATCTTTCTGAATATCGTAAATTTTTTGGCACCTTATCAATTTCGAAAGAGCATTAATTCGATAACCGAATTAGAAAAAGTGTGCATTAATGCGTAATTTTCAATTTTACTAGTGACGGACAAAACTGAAGTCACTAAAATTATATATAGGATGCCCTCGCCGACTCATTTTAAAAAAAAGTAACAGTACAGCCAATTTTCGATTGTACCTCTATTGTGAAAAATAATTGAAGTACCAACGCCTAAAATTGCAATTGCAGTATTGCAGACATATTCTTGAGATCACTATAAAGCTTCAATCGTCCCCACATAATATATCAATAACTTTTAAAATATTGTTGACATAATAATAAATATCAACAGTCCCAAATTTGACCCATGAGGGACTCCAAATGCTTATAATATCATTAGATAAAAGAGCAAGTATTATCTGCACATGATTTTTTTATAATATCTTTATGATTTAGACCAGTGTTTTTAAAATGAAATAGGGGAATTTACTAGAATTTTGACAGATGACCAGTTTCATTTACACATTTTGTTTTTAAATTAGATTTTCCTCAAGTTATTTATATTTTAAATGATAAGAGTTAATTAAAAATGAAAATACAGTTTAATTTGTACAAATATACTTACTTTAATTTTAACTTTGTTTATTGAAAGCAGAGGCCTATCTGTAAGCATTTTTAAACTCATATGTGTTTGATATGTACAGTCTGGCGGCTCAATCTATTTTTGGACCATCAATAAAAGTTTAATAAATGAATAACAGTATCATCGATACAAAATAATTAATATCTTGGAAAATCAGCAAGTTGAAAAGCAGTTTAACATGAGATTTTTGTCAACAATAATTATTAACATTTAGCAATATATTAAGTACATATTACCTTATTCTAGAAAAAAACATTAAAGCTTAAAATACGACAAATTGAATGTTTTAATTTACAGTGATTGGGCGTATACATTCAGTCAAAAAGAGTCTCACTAAATTTCAACTTTGGCCGAAAATGTAATATATTGCGAACGTAAAATTAAATATTAGACGAATAGAAATTAAGAGCTGAAATACAGAACATTTCGCCCTTTAAATAACCCATAGGTTTTGAAAACACTTTATTTTACGATTTCCATGGTCTTATTTTACTATAATTAAAATGCAGATAAGTAAATCGTTTAAAATCGTATTAAAAATAAAATGTTTTTAAAACCCATACACCCAGCCCTCACTAATAAAAAGGCGAATACCTCTGTCGAATTTCAGCTATCAATTTCTATTTGACTAGTTGTAGGCATTTTTTAAATAATATTTTTTACTAAATGCATACGCTCAATCACTGTAGATTAAAACTGTTCAATTTATCCTATTTCAAGCTTTTATGGCTTTTTCTAAAATAAGGTACTATGTTCCTCTTAAAAGCTTTGCACTAATAAAACATAAAGTGTAACTACGACAAATCACATTTACTAACAGGAAATAAAATTTTCCAACATTTCTTTTAATGACCCCAACCTATTTTTTGAGACTTTTAATGATAAATCCAAACTTCTAAAGGAGCACAACAAATAATATTATATGATAAAATAAAATAATTGGTAAATTTAAAGAAAACAAAAACATATCACATTTAAAGTTTTGGCAACTAAAGCAACATTGTCAACCCTGTTGTCATAGTTAATTTGCTATATTTAAAAAAATGATGTAACACTATTATGATCAATTTTCACCTTTGTAACCTATTATGAATAATACCGAATCGACTGACAGTTGTTTTCCATCAAGAATTCCAACAATTATATAAAATACTTTTCTCTCTAAAATATATTTTTCTGGTGAAATGCATACCTACAAAATCGAAAAAAAGGAGTCGAGGTCAGGCGAATAAAGGGGCTCTGACGATTGCTGGAACTTCAACAAAAGATTTTTATTTGTATAGGTACCTATTTGAAAAATAAATGACGCATTGGTAACTGCTTTAGTGATCAAGAGATAAAAAAAAACATGCTGATTTAAAACATAAATACGTACATATTTTATGCAAATGTTGGTAATTAAACGACAATTAAAGTTTTCCAGAAGAAAGTAAAATTTGTTAAGTAATACCTTTTTTTAATGATTTGCGTGTATAACGCTAAAAATTATGAGTATTAATAAAAAAAAAACATTATTTACGGTACATACCTATACGAGAAAAATTGTTAAAGTTGGAACACGACCAGGGTTGCCAGATGGTTTTTTAATCAGTATTAGCCAGTTGAAAAAATCAGTAGAAAATAGTTCAGTAACATACTTAAAATTGGAAAAAAAGTTTTTATTGAAAAATTCAACTTCAAATATTTTTTCTAACAATATATAACGAGGTTTAAAATAAAATTTATTTATTATGAAATATTTAATACATAAATAAAAACTGAAACTAAAAAAATAAGAAAAACAGTAAAATAAAACAACTTATGCTTGTGAAAAACTCCCTACCTATACCAAATATATAAAAAACTAAAGGGCACAATAATTTCAGAATCAGTCAGATATTCCTCGCAAAAGCAGAGGACCTAATATATACATGTAACAATTTAAAACTTACACTAAAAAGACAAACCTAATAAAAACAACTTATTTTGCACTCCTGGAGTAGAAATTTTTTTAAACAGATTTAATTCAGTAGATCTACTGAAAAAGAAATAGATCTGGTAACACTGCACTAGACTTACAATAGAGGACTTCTATACAAGGGAAGTGCAACAAACTTAACAAAATAAAATTGACACTAATGACATAAGAAATCGGGTCACATAAAGAGACTGTTTTTTAGTTTACTTTTTGGTTTTTCTTATCTATTTTTATGCTATTTACATACCATGTTGTACCCGTAAGGTAAAAAAGACTTTTTAGTTTAGAGTATTTTACATTTAAAGGTTGAAAAAAATTTGTCAGTGTCAGCTGTCAATCATGGTGATAATAGAACACAGGCGTAACCATAGATGGGCATAACGTAACTAGTGTTGTATATGTTTGTATAGGGTATGGAACTTGAATTTGTAGCAGCATCATTTTTGCATTTGATATAAATATATAAACCCAAATGAAAAAATGTTTAAAGAAACAGGGAGAAACACAAAAATAGACTATTAATAATAAAAAAAATAAATCGCAATGCTACGCTTATGTTTTGACATTATAGACAGCTGATATTGACAAATGTTTTCAACCTCTAAATGTAAAATACCCAAAAATAAAAAGTCTTTATTACCTTACGGGTACAACATGGTATGTAAATGGCAAAAAAGTAGATAAGAAAAACCAAAAATTGAATAGAAAAACAGCCTCTTTATGTGACCCGATGTCTTATGTCATTAGTGTCAATTTTATTTTGTCAAGTTGGTCGCACTTCTCTTGTATAGAAGTCCTCTATTGGGTATTTGTATTGAAGTTTATTGCAATGATCAAAGTAGAACTGCAGAATTGTGCATAAAGCTTAATTTATAACCGCAGTAACGTAACTTAAGAACCTAACGTAAGAAGTTGAAATATTGAATTTACGTATACTTATTTATAATGTTCGTAACGTAACTTAAGAACTTACCGTACCGTAGAAAGTTCGCCAACTTTTAACTTAAGACCTTACGGTTAGCCAATGAGATAATTCTGAGTTCAGCATGTGATAAACTGTCAATTCTTTTTATTTTTTTTTTATAAATGAATAGACAAATACCATTTGTAAACTATCATTCTCCTTTTTGATGGACATACATTATCATGAATGATTTGTGTTTATGTTATTGGGGATAAACTATTTATGAGATATGAGTGTTGCTGCATATACCTATAAACATCAAGTCTAGAACTGAAATAAGACACAAAACTAGTTTGCTAGGAAAGATTAAATTCTCATTATTGCTCAAAAACAATCAACATCTTCGGTAAACTATTCTGTTTTATTATATTTTTATATTATTGCTTTTAAAGTAGTTAATATATTCTTTCTATATAGCAAAATCATAATTTATAAGTTTTATTTAGAGGTTAGGTACATAGTTTACACTTGTTTATTTCATAAGGTTGTCAGTAATTTGATAATCTCTGAAATCAACACGCATGCTCAACTCTTACGCATGCTCAACTCTTACGCATGCTCAACTCTTACGTTACGGACATTTATAAATAGACTTTATTTTTATATCTTAGGTTAAGTTTCTACGGTCTACGGCATTAAGTTACGTTACGGTGGTTATAAATTATACTTTAGTCTGACAGACATGCAGGGATTTGAACTCCTGTTAAAAAAAACCTATTAATAGTATAGATTTTAAAGGAAATATTTTGAAAAGCAATAAAGAGATTTACAAAACGTAATTTATGTTTTACATTTCCCACGAACTTTATTATTTCTCCTCTTATAACAGTACCTACTATGTAAGTTAAAATATGTTCTAAAAATATTTTATATATTTTTTTGTACTTGTGACTTGTTGACACCATCGGGCGTAAATTAACCAAATATTGGACAAGATGAATTCTTACCTCTTTAGCCTCGGAATTAATATAATAAGATTGCCATTCAAGGTTGAGGGCAGTACCCTGGACAGGACTATTCGGTGGTGATTTCGGACTGCTTCTGGGGGAATCCCGTCGCGATCCAGCTAGCGATACTCTAGCTGACGACTGGTTAGATTCTTGGGCTTCTTTGAGTAGACGTAAATAGTCTTCCACTGACAATGTGTGAGTTATAGATCCAGGAGTGCCACCATTCTGGGAGCCACAAGTGGAACCGGCACTGACATCTACCCATGATTCTGCAGATAATTTATCTAGGTAGAGAATTGCAAAGAAAATTGATACGAAAACAAATCTATACTAATATAAAGAAATAAGTTCCCCTTTTCTCTTAATGACAGTGATGAATATTTATTTATTAACACGGCTGTACAGACAGACAAGGACATAATTGGAATTCTAGTATCTTAGCTGCTGCTTAGATGCCCTAAACCCATATATCAAGAATACATGTTAACCCATTAAATCATTTGAACACAAAACCATGCATTCTTAAATAGTTTTCAGACCAATAACTTGTAACTATGTAAGTAATTATTATCTGTAATGGCTACATTTAACTATAGGTGTGATTTTTAAAAAAGATCCTCTATGAATAAATCAAAATTTAGGACTGTGATAAACAAATCCCAAAATACATCAATTTTTATTGAAGTAAAATCGAATAAGAAATTTGCGGCCGAGGCCAACCAACTTCTTGTAAGGCCAGAAAAGATCATGTGGCTGAGATACAAACAACATATTTTATGCAACTGTCTCATCAACATTTTTTTTACATTATTGTTCCTGAAAATATACTAAAATGCAAGAATATTATCAAATTTTTATTGATCGAATAAAAAACCTATTGTTAAGTAACAAAGATTTGTACAGAATTACTAATGATAAGTATGATAAACTATGATCAACAATAATTATATTCACAAACATATCTTGGATCTTTTATCCTTTTTAGATAGTCAAATAAAGAAGAATTACCATATACGGTACCTACCTTCCTTTATTATTAGTTTAAGCTGTTTGAGATTATGATATTGTATAGAGTACATAAAAAAGATTTGTAAGTATATAAAATGAGTTAATATTTCATTTAGATATTGTGAACCAATGTTTGATTTTGTTCAGTTATAATAAGTTTTGTTCAATAGCTTTGTATTTTGGTACCTTATTTATTTAAATACCTATGTGTTTTATTAATGTTAATAAAAATTAATATTCGATTTCTATATAAATACGAGTAGATATTTCGCTCAATCTGGTATATTTACAGAATTTGTAAAACCAATATATGTTTAAAAGATTAATTTTTTTGAGCAGCGAAACAGTAGGTAAGCAAGCGATATACATAGGGTACTCCTTTTAATGAAAATTTACAAGTTTTGGATTTTTTATGACAGTTATATTTTCTGAGATATCGATATCCAGGCTGAGTGATTTTTAAAAACCACCCTGTATATTGTCGACGATAGTCTACATTTTAAGGTACATAATTCGAAAATGTTCACATAAAATATATTTTTTTAAATTATGTACCCAGACCAACAAAGAATTTCCATTTTAGCAATTTATTAACATAAAACAAAGTAAACATTGATCATTGTTTACAATGTTAATGAGTCAAATCTTTAATAAGTATAAAGTTTTTCGAATGAACGCAGTTTTTTCAATGCTTATTTGAATAAACACAATTATTTTGAGCCCCGCTTTTTTCTTAGCGAATACTGCATCCTTGAAAACAGGATTTTTTTGCAAACTATTTTTGTCGTGTTGTGTCCTTTTAAAGTCAGTGACATCTAATTTATGCTGCATGTTTAGGAACATACTGTATTCATTATTCAAATAGCAAGGTCTGTCTATTTCACGATTTACTTAATTACTGCACATTTAATTTAACAGATTATTATTTCGTGATATATGGGTTTTTAGGACGTATAGTTGATGTAATTACGATGTTTTATTTAAGTAAAAAGAGTGTAATGTATTGGAATTCTTTGTTAGTGAAAAAAACTACGATTCAATACAAAATGTAAACAAAGAGCTTTGTCACTTTTAAGTCTTCTAATATTCATATTTGTTTTATTAAAATCAGCAACACGATATACGTACAATGAAAATGAAATGTATATTTACAAACAAGTTCAGTCGTATTTACAAATAGAAAAGTGACATATCATGCCAGATGGGAATATAAACACTAAATCTTACCTCCAAGAAGATCATCTACGCTTGATTTACTAGATGACATGTTGAAATTACGCTATAATATCAATAATTTCAGCTTTTTCAGGCCTCCGCACTTTATGTTTTGCTTCTATTCAGTATTTACGCGGAATTTTACAATACGTATTCGCACAAACTCACTAATCGGCGTACGTGACTTGACAGCCTGAATCAAAAACCAAACAACCAGTCAGCGTTCATCTTTGTCTAAAAAGCGATCCCGTCATAGTCACGTGACCGCTTACGCCAATCCCGTCCAAGATAAAAATACAAAAATAAACAAACCTAATACTAGATGGCGACCCTTGTTCTAACTCTAAGCGCACTAGATTCGAATAAATTTTTAATTATTCTAGAAATTAGTTTTTTGATCATTAAAGGACGCTAACCTCTAAGTTTTAAAGTTTTATAATAAAATTTTTAAATGTGTGCTACTTGAAGTTGTATGTAGGTAATAACAACTCTTGTATTGTATTTAACGATAAATGTAATTTGAAAACGGAGAAGTCATTGTATTTAAATTGAGTAGGTACTTATTTATACACGCATAAAGCAACTTTCTGTATTATTCTTAAAATAGCATAAGAAGAAGCTGTTTATATCTAATTCTTTTTGCAATTTATTTGATAATTGACAAAAATTGCTCAATATATATACACACACACGTGTATAATTCTGATATTTGCAATAAAGACCACCTATCTCATAATAAAATGTTATAGGTACACGTGTGCTGTTTACTTACCGCTTAAATCCGAAAATTACATTTTTAAAAACACCTTTTCAATCTGTTGATATCAGATAATAAAATCAAGGTCGTTGTAAAGGTGTAAAAACAAAATAAGGAAATGTTTATTTGTAGACAAGATGCGTCGCTACCAAAACTTTTCAAAAAATAAAAATATTTTTAGTAACGATCAACCAACAACTAATTTATGTGTTTATTTCCATTCATAAAATAATTCCTGACCTCTCCAAGGTAGCACAACTTAAATAAAAGTATTTATATAGGGTGACTTCACCAGTTTTCGAACATTTTCGACCGAACATCATCGTATGTATGTCAATAAAAAAGTAGTACTTAATACAATGAATAATTATAATATATAGTTAGGTAGATTCAGGGGCGTGCGGTTCATGGAAGCGAGGGAAGCACCGCTTCTCCACACTTTGAGATTTAAAAATAAATATTTTTCAGTTTACAATGCATAGAAATTAAAATTAAATTAGGTACTATATTTTCTCTGTAACATTACGTAAACTTCGTAAATGCACTCATTCATTGGTGTAATGTGTAAACGCACGCACCACCTATGAGAAAATTAATTGTGTAAACGCCCACAACATATAGGTACTTCAAGTCCGTCGGCGGAAGCGCCTCTTGGAAAAGCCGGCTCATCTTCCAATTGATTTCGCTTCGTGTTATTGACCCGCTTTGCCGCGATAGTAGTCAGTCTGTTTGGACACGTGAAATACGGTCGAGAGGCAGCGATTTTTACGTCGCCTTACGCATATTGCAATTCGCACCGCGAATCGACGTGTGAGGAAAATCGTAGATTTCAGATAGATTTCGGTTTGTTTTTCGTAGTTGTATTTCTTTTTGTAAAATGGAGGAACTATGCACTGTGCCTGTGAACAATAATAATGTGGTAAATTGTGTCTGTACTGTGTGCGCTTTATTGAAAAAGGATTTTCAAGTAGAAATTTTGAAGAGAAAACGGACATTATTAATTCTAGTAGACTAAAGGATCCTATCAATTTAGAAACGAAAGTGGAAAAGTCAGCAAAGAAATTTACCAGGCATTTTCACGTAGGGTTCTTTAAAAAGTATGAATGGTTAACCGGCTGCAAAACTTTGAAGAAATTGTTTTGGTGGCCTTGCCTACTTTTTAATATAGCCAAAAAAACACATTCGAACTCGGTCTGTATTACAGACTTGAATAATTTTCACAAAAGTGTAAAACGACATGTAAATAGCAAATCTCATATAAGTTCTACAATCAAAGAAAAAATATTCGGGACCTATCGCATTGAACAGAGTTTGGACAATCATTTAAAAATTAGCAACAAAATTCACAATAAAAGGGTAAAAAAAAAATAGGGACGTCTTACAACGATTAATAGATGTAACTTATTTCCTGGGAGAGCATGAACTAAATTTTAGGGGTCACAATGAAGCAAGTAGATCCGCCAATCGAGGAGATTACATGGACCTTCTAAGTTTTTTTAGCAAAATATGATGATACCCTAAAAAATCATTTTATTGATTCGACGACTTTCCGAGGTACCTCAAACAGAATCCAAAATTATTTAATTAAATGCACTGCCGACGTTGTGATGGATTACATTAAAAGTGAAATTAAAAAAGCACTTTTCGTATCAATTGCGCTTGATGAAACCACAGATGTAGCAAACATAAGTCAATTATCCATTGTTATGCGATATGTATTGGATGGCATTCTTCAAGAGCGATTCTTAGGATTTTTGGACGTCACTAGCGAAAGAACTGCAGATGCATTGTTTAAAATTGTTTGTGACATTATTTCCAGTTTAGAATGTGGTTCTAAGCTTGTTGCCCAGAGCTACGATGGTGCTGCCGTAATGGCTGGCCATCTAGGAGGTCTTCAAGAGAAGTTTAAACATGCAATTTTCGTTCACTGTATAGCACATAGACTAAATTTGGTTTTATCGCGAAGCATGAATAATATTAAAGATTGCAAAGTTTTCTTTTCGACGCTTAGTGGTTTGGCTTCCTTCTTTTCAAATTCATCGAAAAGAACTCGTGCTTTGGACATTCACGTTCAAAAAAGGTTTCCAAAAGTTGCTCCGACGCGATGGAACTAAAATGGACGTTTAATGCAAACAGTGTTTGGGATAATAAAGAAACATGGGATGCTGAAACTGCCGCTAAAGGGTATTTGTATTGGCTCAAACAAAACTTTGATTTCAATATTTTGCTCAACATTTTTGCAGAGATTTTCCCTTTTACTGACATATTTTACAAAGTCAAATGACATTGGCTTTTGCATTAAACAAATTGATGATTTTAAAAATAAAATGAATAAAAAACGAGATCAGTTTGAACACTTTTGGAATAAAAGATTTAAAACATTGGCTTAGGACCTGAAAGAAAGAGAATTAGAATTGATAATGTCGGCGACAGAGAGACCTCCTATCGTCGATTATATGCCGAAATTTTTGATATTTTACAACAAATGAACTCTCGATTTCAAAACTTTAACGAATTAAAATTTGTTGAATTGTGCAATTTTAATATTAGTAACTACGATTCATCAAAATTTCCATCGGAAGCTTTTAATTCACTAAAATTAAATTATGGATTTTTTTTTTCGATATTCCAGCATTTAAAGTCCCAGTTAAGTGTTGTTTATGAAACAGCTGAAATTAGTGATAAAAAGACGCCCATCAATGTGTTAAATTTTCTTATGACAACTGGTTTAAATAAGTCCCTTTGTGAAGTCGTCAAGTTGTGTGAATTAGTACTAACCATCCCAGCCACAAGTGCGGCAGTTGAGCGAAGTTTTTCAGCTTCAAAACGCATTAAAAGTTTTATACGAAATTCAACAAGTGAAGACAGACTCTCTAATTTAGTCCCAATATCCATTGAAAATTGGCTTGTTAAACAGTTATCAGAAAATGCAAAATTTTACGATGTTATATACAAATTTGCAGCCATTGAGGATAGGCCAATAAATCTTAAGTATAAATAAATGTCAACTGCTGTGTCAACTGTGCGAAAAATGCTGGAAAAAATAAAAAAGAAACTTCACTTAAATGTTTTTTTTACATTTAAATAAACCAAGGAAGCTTTTCAATGATAAGTTTTTTTATAGCTTCTAGTACTAAACTAGGTAATAAAGTAATAGTAACACTTCAAAAATCTCAATCTCGAATATCCGTAGTACTGAGGAAAAAAGCAAGATTTTGACAAAATGGTGAATGCGGCGCTGTGCTTACTGGCATGCTGTATTTTTATACAATCGCTTCCCCTTCCAAAAATGTCACCGCACGCCACTGTGTCTTTCACAACTTGACTGTCTGTTTTTCCTCTATATTTCTATTTGCTCTATATTCTTTTCCATCTCTTTTATTTTCTCCTCAACCGAAGAAATTTCATTTTTCATAGAAGACATTTCAGCAGAAATTTTTTCTTCTAAGGAAGAAATATCAGCCGAAACTTTATTTTCTAAGGAAAAAATGTCAGAAGGAACTTTACTTTCTAAGGAAGAAACTTTGTTATCTAAGGAAGATATATCTATATTTTTTTTATAGAAAAACATCAATAAACTGTTTAAAATAAATAAACGTTACAATATGTATTAGAAAGCTTAAACTACCCCGATAGGGTCCATTTGTAAAAAAATTAATCAAATATATATAAAATAAGTTGCAATTACTACTTATATAAGTTTTGCTCTTTTATTATCAAACACTAAACATTTCTTCGGATATGTGGATGCAATGCTCACTTTAACAGATAATAACTAAAAATTGGCGCTATATAAATGATAGTTACTACTGCCAATCTTAAATCATAAAGATTAACATACTCGTATTTGCGGGAAATTTTAAATAAATATTTTATTTGAAATATTTAACATTTAATTGATATAATGGTGCAGGCTGCCGAATAGGCGAATTAAATTTTGTATATTTTTTGATTTTCCACAGATTTTCTTACTAGTTTGGATCAAAATCATTTCAAGCTTTTGACAACAGATATGGCCTTCGCTGGACGTTATTTCGATATAGATACATGTTCAAAATATTCATGAATTGCTCGGAAGCACTACGCCTATGGTACAATGAAAGTTACGGACTTTGATATATTTTTCGTACGTGTTTGTAGTTACATACAAACAAGCAATAGTTTTAGAATTTTGGCAACCGAAAGTATAATATTTACGTCTAAATATGTCTCGCTGCACTTTTATAATAGACTAAAATTTAAACGTTGTTTATTGAACGATTTCAATGTACCAAAAATATTTGTATGGTAAAACTTCGTTGATGCGAGTAGTTGAAGGTGATCAGGGTAAGTGGATCCAAAAGGAGCCACACTGGACCGACTTATAAGGGTGCGAGGTTTTTTTATGAATTATTGCACGTGTTGGTTTAGACTACAGGGATTCCCAAAGTGGTCGATACCGACCCCTTGGGGTCGAAATCGGTTTCCCAGGGGTCGATATAAACGAAAACTGATTTTGGGGGTCGACGAGATCTAAAAATCGACTTCTATTAACTAACACAAGTTCTTATTTGAAACTTTCAAGATACTCTATAAGTTGTGTTACGTGTACCAACTTGTTATAAGAATGACTAAAATATGTTAGTAGAAGTATCATTGTTGTACTTTTAAGAAACTCAACAAGGTGATAAGGGTGCACAAGTTCCTGCAAGATGAAAAACGTAGCAAGTCAATAAGCGTGGACAAGTTCGTACAAGATAATGAGTTCGAGCGTACAAATCTTTCAGGCACGTTTTGACTTGCCCTGTATTTGACGCATACACGCGATTTAACACGAACGAAATCATGACCAAGTTCAAGTCCAAACATGCTCCTTATATTTTACTATATAACAAGCTTGCACTTAGGTTGAAAGTTCATTTGTGGTTTGAAATTAGTTGGAACTTTATTTATTTCAAGAGATTACGAAGTGATTACATAGTTAAATAAAGTAATTTAAAAAAAAAATAATAGCGTAACCATACATTTCTGCCGTTTATGAAAAAGTGACAGACGGTAAGTACCAAAAAACGTTTTAGTACATTTTAATATTGTACTTCAGAAAAATTGTACCTAAAATTATAAATGTTCAGTTTTCTTTGTTTTCGTTTTTTACGCTGATTGGTACCTAATACAAATTTTCTCTACTACAGTGTGACTATATCAATAAGGTGAGCATAGAACAGCTAGGAGTAAAAGTTGGAAATGCTTTTGCCAGTTCTCCCACTTTATACACATAAAATGACAGGTTTCCGTCGGATCTCACCGAAGTGGACGCGATACATTGGCGTACAAAATTATTTTATAGATGTTAATAACAATTTCGAGTAAATAGTTTAATAAATTGTGAATAGCTGTTGAAATTTTGTAAAATTATAATTTGAATATTATAATACATGTTTAATAATTATTTATAATCCAGAAATACATGCGATTGTCCGGTTTCGCCGATAACAATTTAAAATTACTTATTCTATGAAACGACACTGGCAGGTAAACATTACTGTGAAATTCTCGGAGCCGCCCGACGTGGTTTGACGTTTACCCCCTCTCTACCTACCAAAAGACTTTTCAACTTTTACTTTCTCTATACCTAAAAAACATCCAGTGCCTAGGTGTGATAAAAATACGTTCATGTACAAATTTAACAGTTTTATTATTGTTTTTTAAGTAGTTTCTTAAACATATTTTTTTTAATTTGCAGCTTTATTGCGAGTTTTATGATGGCAGACTATTATACAGTTTAGACTACTTGAAGTTTGGATTTGTTCCATCTCTATCAGATTAACACTTGCCGATGTGTCTCATATGTGAAGAAGTATTCAGTAACGATACGATCTATGAAGCCTTCAAAAATGGAGGACCACTTATCAAGAGTACATGTTGACACAAAAAGTAAGCCCTTCTCATTCTTTCAAGCACTTAAAGAAAAACTAGAGAAAAGGCCATCCGCAAGATCGATGTTTGCGTCATCATCTATGCAAGACGTTGATGGTTTATGAGCGTCCTATAATATATCTTTACTAATAGCGAAGTCGGGGGGGAACCCCACACAATTGGAGAGCAGCTTATTTTACCAGCCCACACATGATATTGTAAAGATTATTCCTATGAGCAATAACACTGTTCAGAGACGGCTCGATATGTGGAAAACATTTTATGCAATGTCTTACAAACCAACATATTCTCTCTCTAGTTGGACGAGTCTACATTACCCGGCAAAGAAGCGATGTTAGGCTATGTTCGATATATTAAAGATGAAAATATGTACCTAGAACTGCTTTTTGCTACATATTTAGAGACTGATACCAGAGGAGAATCGATTTTTCAGGCTGTGTAACGTTTTTTTTTTACCGACAAAGCTATTTGATGGAAGAACATTGTTTCTGTTGCGACTGATGGTGCACCATCTATGGTTGGTCGTCATCGTGGTTTTATAGCTCACTTAAAGCGATAACTTACTGAGGTACTGGTTATTTATTGTGTGATTTACAGACAGCATTTAGTAGCAAAAAATCTGAGTCCTAGATTGTACCTGTCTACAATATGTTATAAATGCTGTCAACAAGATTCGAAGCAATTCTTTGAAAGCTCGGTTATTTGCTCAGCAATGTGAGGTAAACGACGAAGTCTTTACTCGCTTACTTCTGCACACTGAAATTCGCTGGCTATCAAGATGCTCCCGATGCTTAGCAAGATTTTCAGCTATTTTTGAAACTGAGTTGGAGTTTTTACAAGAAAAAGATCCTAATTTGAAAGAAAATCTGAACAATTGTAAAACATATATTTATTACTCGACTGATATCTTTGGTATGTTTAATAAAGTTAATTTGCAACTGTAGGGTGACGATCTCAACTTGATTAAAACAAAATCAATATCAGCCTTTGTGGGTAAACTGCTTATCCTTTATGAACAAAATTTAAGCAGAAAAGTAAATTCACAGTTTCCGCATTTGTCAAAATATGCACGACTAATTATTGTATGAGGCTGAAGCTATGGACAAACCGCGCGGGGGTCCGTTAAAGTTTCAATATTGTTATTCGGCAAAATCTGTGGTTTAGGTGGACTTTAATATCATAAAAGTTTAAACACTTTTACAATGCGATTATAAATATATTTTTTATACCAAATATTCATTAGGTTCTTGTTAAATGATTAAACCAAAAATTAAGGCCGAGCCATGATTCGAAATATATTTCTTAAATCTTTGTAAAGTCAGGTTTTTTGTTGTCAAACGACTATGAGAACAGAGATACCGAAAAAACGAGATTACAAAAACCTGAAATTGTATCCAAATCGCTTTATAAATAAAAGGAACATAATTCGAATAGTAATAGTTCTTTTTACAAATATTTCATTGGGGGGGGGGGGGGGGGGGGCAACTTCACCGACCTCCAATTTTATATAAAGTATAATTTTAATTTGGGACAATCAGTATATATGAGAAAAGTTTTTACAAACGGTTCGCTATTACAAGAATCTACAAAAATAACCCTAAACTGAAGTGCTAAATATATTTAACAACTTTCTTTGTAGATCATCTGTATTTTCCGCTATAAGAACAGTGCAACTTAGTAATACCAATGAAAATCAAGTTATTCCCGAAATGATAGTCCTATAAATTTTGTTATTTCTATTTCAGCTTGATCCAGCTCGTAAAAGTAACAATGCCGTTCCGATTTCGTAAATTTCTCGTGTAAAGGTAGGAAGTACGTGTGCGTTTGAAAAATTAAAATTGTTCAAAACCTCCTAGGTATCCCATGAGTTTTTTGTAGACACAATTTTTTTTTTAATTGACGTCCATTTAACAAAATGGCGTTCTTTTTGAGACATAATCAGTAGACGATATATTTTTAAAACTATTCCATTATCAATCAAGGCTTAGAGGTTTTATTTATTTATTTGTATTAGCAGTGTATTATAATCTAAAAAACATTTTCGGGGTTTCCCTGTATAGATTAGATACATTAAAATTAATTTGCTTCATAGGTTTTGTATGTTTCCTCTAAACATAAATTTTGTTTTATATACTAGGTTTTGATTAAAAAAAAGTTAAAAACGATAAAAAGGTATATAGGTACCTACTTCATTGTATGGTTAAGATTCAATTAAATTTTGAAACAGGATTGAATGGATAAGGCTGCGAAATACTATACCGGAAATATTTAGGGCTTTTATTAATCTCAATGAAATTTTAGGTGGAACGACTATATTTGTAATATTTTTTTTTTTAATTTTTGTAACTTTAAAACCAACTTTTCACTGAGTATATTTGTTTTTCACATGAAACATTGAGTCTAGTAATATCCGTTTGTGTCAAAGGTATGTAGGAAAATGAAAGAATGCATTTGACCGGAATGAACGGACGTCGCCGGTACAGATTTCCGGACGTAAAATCTGTCGGGAAAATCGCGAAAACGCGCTGGATAATGGAATGAAGCTGAATGGATTAAATAGCAGTTTTCGAGATTATTTATCCTGAAGGTGAGTGTAATTTTTATTTTTATTGTGCGTTGGGAAAACCAGATCATTACGAGTTAGAGTTAAAGAACATGAAAATACTTTTAAAGGTTCGGGTTGAATGAAATAGGTATAAATAATAGGTTATTATTTTATTTACAAATATATCACAAAAATTTTGTTGCTCATCAGGTCTCCAGGTTGTTCTATAAATAAGAAATATATACATAAATATGTTTTCTTGAGCAAAAGGCACTAGACAGTCGTTTAGAATACTGGAAATTCAGATGATTTTTCAAATTTCTATATAGGATTTAGAGGGAGGGTCGATTTTTTGCATGGCTCTGTCGAACGCTTCTTTTATTGATTTCCTGAAAAAATAAAACTTAATTATGTTTCTCATTACATTTTAAGAGGAAACATTGTAATGAATCAATTATATCCGTACATTGCACTAAATTATTTTTTTATTTTCTTGTAAAAAAAACTTCAAATTTTTATCTATCTTGTAGGTCAAATGTTATCCGCAACTGGAAATTTTGAAATAACTATGCATTATGTTATCTTACTTTTAAAGCGTATTTGTATTTTTTATTTTTTTATCGTATTCGGAAATATTCATTTGGTGCCAATTAAAATTAGGTTTATGTTGTAACCGAAAATATACGTTTGTAATTCAATTCTTTATTGATCTCAGATATCTAAAGACATGAGACAAGTCATGTTTATGACTTGTCATGGTGTGTCATGTCATGACGTGTCATGGTGCTTAAACTACTACAGATTTAAAAAACAAGACAAACTATGACACTATAATGTAGTAAAAATTAAGATATCAAACTAGCACATTTTGATTTCTAAAAAAATTAAAAGTTGTATTAGCGTTGTATTAGCATTGCATATTCGAAAAATTTTGAAAACACAGCTATAGCACTGAAATTTACGAAGGCGTAGAACCGCCACAATTTTTTTTTGCAAATTCCGACTTGTATCTCGGAATTCCGACTTGTATTTCGTAATTCTGACTTGTAATAACTTGGAATAAAAACATATATATTGATTTGCAAGATCAGAACCTGTACAAAATCTGAGGAATGATTCTCTTGTTTTCAAATTATATTCTTTTATACATTTTTTCAAGTAACTAGTTATTGTTTTAATTTCCGCTAACAAATTGTGCTCTATTTCAAGTTTAATCGAGGTATTATTCAATATCAAGAGTCACAATTGTGATTTTAGCTTACCTAATTGGAATTCCGAGTTTCATGTCGGAATTCCGAGTTTCAAGTCGGAATTCCAAGATACAAGATGGAATAATTCGACATTATTTCCGGGTTTCCGGTTTTTAAAATGGGAGAAATAATTAAAGTTTTTAATTTAGATGATGTGTTAATAATGTGAGCCAGAATATTATAAAATTAGAAACTTTGTTAGTACAAATTCTGATCCAGGGGTCAATTAGCGGTTTTTTTTGTTGGTTTTATTCTATTTAGAATTTTAATTTTATGGTTTAAAGTTACGTTTACTGACCTAAAAATATTTCTGTGCCAAACATAAGCACCTACATGGCCACATTCGACGTATTTAACTGTAGCACCGGGCCAAATGTCTTCCAAAGTTGATACGCCCACTCTGGGAACGTAACCATCATATTTTGCACAAATAGAGATAATCAATGAGGTATCGTAGGGTACAGTAAAATTCTTCAAATGAGTACACTCATCCATAATGCCCCGCATAAACCACAAAGCTTCTCTGTCTCGTCTTTTCATGGCTTGCACTTTTTTGCTAGTCGTTGTTATAGCTGGGGATTCTTTCAAAAGATTTATAAGGGAAAAGTCTTTGGGATTGAGCGTTTGACTAGCAGGTTTCCTGTAGGCCACGTTTTGGCATTTCGGATTCAGGTTTAAATAGTTTATTAGCTGGTATGGTGTCACGTAAGATACTTGGGAATCGTCAAGTAAGTGAATTGGTATTTCTACAAGAGTTTCTGTAATAAAGTAGATTTTAATCTTGATTTTTCTGCCTTTCTTTTGAACTACGTGATTATTAGTAGATCCGTTCATTTTGACATTTTTTCTTAAAATCCTCTTAAATTTTCTCAAATTACTTTTTAGCTTGGCATTTGCAAAGAAAAATCATTTTGTTATTAAATTTAAGGATTTTAGGAATAAATTGAGGAGAACAGATCCATTTGCTTGAAGAAAATTTAGATAATTGTCTCTTAAAGGTTTTTAAAAATAATATTTTCTGATGTTTTCTTAAAGTTAGCCAATGGATCAAATTGTATTACCTGGGGGTTTACTGAGATCACAAGCAAAAGGATTGTCTACAATTTTACATAGTCTAGATAGAGTATAACAGAACAGTTTGTTCGATTCATATTGGTTTTGGAGCATGTCCCAGTCTATCGATTCGCTCATTACACCCTATAAAGAAATGTAGCTTTTAATATCTAAATGAATTAAATTGTATGATATGTTTACCTCGGTGAATACAGAGGATGCAGTGGACCATGATAAGCAAGGTACTAGCACTAAGGGTTTCGGCCAATTTGATGCGGCCAGAGAAGCCATCTAAACAAATGTGCAATTTTTAAAACAAATAAAAAAAATAAATGGGCTGAAGTACATAACTCAGTTCTTCCATAAGTTTTATTGTAGAAAAAATATACTTTGAGGTAATGTACCCCGCAGAGTGTTTTATCTATATTAAAATGTACTAAATAAATTTTACTTTTACCGGGTTTTATTTATTTTTTAATTATAACATTACTCAACAGATCAAGTACCAACAGGCCAAGACCCAATTATTACAGAGGTACATGAATAGATAAATACAATTAATTTAGAAAAAAAAAAAGCTAAGAGAATTATTTTTTTAGCAAAACTAAAAATTTCAAAGAACATTCTTAAAAAAAGTAATTCCTAATATTATGACTGAACTGTAAAACAAGTAAAGCTGGCAACTTACTGATTCATAAGTATTACACAATATAGGTGATTTTAACAGAACATTAAAATGTACGCCTGTTCCTGGAAGCTATTTGAGGAACTGCAAAATTGAGATAATGAAGCATAAATGAAAAATCAACTTTAAAATGAATTGTTTTAAATAGCAATACCACGGAAATATTTGCGTTTTGTATCAAGACTCCAGAATTTACGTCTAAGTAGCAGATCACGATGAGGAAGGTGTACAAATTTTAATAATCTCCGTTGGACTGCTTCAATTCTATCAAAATGTAACTGATATGGGCTCCATACAACTGAGGCGTATTCAAGTTTAGACTTCATAAATGAATAAAACAATAATTTTAGTGTACATTTTGTACGATGCTAATACTATTGATTCTATATGGTTGTTCATTGATGAAGTGGGATCAAATGTAATTCCAACATCTGTGATAGTAACGCTGTAGTTAAAAGCTAAATGGAATTGACTTAAGGTATAGGACATCACAAAACATTTATATGGGTTAAGAGGAAGATTGTTATTGAGACACTACTACTCAACACGTCAGAGATTATCTGAAAGCCTTTTACAGTCCTCAAACCTTCTCGATACAACAAAATAACTCATCGACGTATATAATAATAAGGTTTATATATGTATCTACAGTTCATCAAATTTCTAGAGGTGTTCGACGCCCAGACAGAGAACGCGCTACGTGTGACTAAGATAGCTATTGTACAGTCTGCTAAACAAGTTATTTTAAATAGTTTTTAATATTTTTAGGTAATTAAATTTTAAAAGTGTGGAATAGTTTAGGGATTAAATTGGTCTGATTGGACTTTCTTAGAACGTTTTTAAAAGCAGCTAAAGATAGTATGTAGAATTGAAAATAATTATTATGCCATAAAAGGTGTTTTGGAATTCCTTCAACCTTTTGAAATTGAGTCAGAAAATATAAATTTTATAGGATAGCGGAAAATACCTATAATTTTTTTGTAGGCCTTTGTAAATCGTGGAAATAGTTTATATTTTATTTCTACCTTATTAAGGAAAATGGTACCTATTATTAATAACGGTTGTTTCTGAAACATTACTAAAATTGTCGAAATTTTGTTTTTCTACAAAATAATAAACTATACTATTTAGAAAAAAAATTATTTCTCTTATAATTTTATAAAAAATAACAGGGGAATATTTACATTTCTTGATCTATTAAACAAAACGATAAATTATCTCGACGAATGACACCATGTTCTAGGTACGGAAGCTAGCTTTACATTTTTGTTGGTGGTTTCATGGGTTTCATATCAATTTTTTGTAATTGTAGTTTACACGTACATATACCTCTTAACACTTGTTTGCTTTATTAAAAAAGTGTGTTGTTGTGATTTACGTCGAAATAAGTCAAAAACAACTTGAAACCCCATATAAAATCAAAAAGGAGAAACGGAAAAAAAATGAGCCTGTAAATGAACACAACTCAGAAACAAAAATAGCTATCTAATAATAAAAAAATAAAATTTGATTCTTGTGCAGCTTCATCTATATCATTAACTGTTTTTGGTTTTTTAATGGTTTTTCTTGGTGATGAAAATTCCGATATCTCACGGTTATCGATTCTTTTTTTCTCTCCAGAAATGCGGACGACAGTGTTTTTAGATACTCCTGTGGCTGCAGCAACACGATCATTTACATTTTTAAATGGTATTGAAGGTGAATTAAAGTTTCCTTCTCTTCTCATAAACTCTATAACATTGGCTATTATTTCGCGAGATTGACTGTTAATCACGCAGCCTCTTAATTTGCTATTAAACTCCATACTTAGGTTCTATTAAACTGTAATGAGCAAAAAACACAAACCAAAATAAAAGAAATGTTTTAGCGAAATTTACATCTGACATTTACGTCTGAATGAAATAGTGAAATACTTGATGCGCAGAGTGTACTTTCATTGCGTAAATCCGTCGGGATGCCTGTCATTAGTGCATTCTCTGTCTAGCCGTCGGAAGCCTCTAGAAATTTGATGAACTGTATAAATATATTAAATAACAAAGGATCTAGATTAGAACCTTGCAGAACACCAAAATTTGCCAGATATTGAGTAGACTTGAAAACGTTAATCTAAACATAGGCTTTCAGCCGAAAAAAAAAACAAATAAGTTCATCAATGGTTGGGAAAAACCACAGTTTATTTAACATGCTACCTGGTGGCTCAATAAGAATAGTTTTCGGCCATTAAAATTGTTTATCTTTTCTATATATTTAAATTAAGTACTTAGCTATTCCTGTAATTAGGTTGTAAAACCTGTTGTATTAAAAAAATAAATTAAATTAAATGTATCAAGAATCATTTCTAGTAAAGCGTATATTTTTTCTCATTAAAATATTATAATTAAAGCTAAGCAGCAGTTGTATATTTTTTTAATTCTGTTATAGATACAAAATAGAGGACCATGCTGAAATTTTTTGGATACTTGAAAACCGTACATATGCAGACGACAAGTCTGAACTTGTTATCGTAATGGGGAATTCTCCTATGCAAAAAAATATCTAACTAATGAAAATTAATATTAAGAATGGGACACAGAAAACTGAAGATTCTTTGATTAAAAATAATAATAATGTTACTCATCTCCGAAATACAGAAAATTCATAAATTATTAATGGCTATAATTTTTTAATTGCTCAGTATAATTTTACTAAAGTCACAAAAAAATCAGTTAAATAAATTTTGCCTGTGGCGTACGGCATGGGTAAGTAACAACTTCATCCCTTCTAAATTTTACTCCAAAAACTTATTTGGACTACACTTTTAAATTTTTTGATGTTTTTTAAATAAATGATGTACTTTTGGGAATTTATAAAAAAATCAAAAATTACAAAATTAAAAATAAATTAAAATGAAGAATATCCACCTTCGAAAACCAATCACTTTATAAGTTATCAACAAGAGTACATGATTTATTTAAAAAACGTCAAAAAATGTAAAAGTATATTCCAAATTAGTTTTTGAACAGTGGCTTAAAATGTAGAGGGGATGAATATGTTATTTATCCATGCTAATGCCACTGTCAAAGTTTATTAAACTGATTTTTTACTGATAGGTGTATGGTATGACACCAAAAATGTTTGCCGAATTTATTAAAATTATACTGAGAAATAAAAAAATTACAGCCAATAATATTTGAATTTTCAACTTTAATACCCTGTATTTCGAAAGCGAGTAATATTTTATCTAGTGTTTAATCATCTTATTTTTAATCAGAGAATCTTTAGTTGTTCTGTGTCCTATTCTTAATGATGAAAAAAACACCCTAGCAAATTTTTGAATCTTAAAAATAATTACTAGGTGAGAAAGAAAGTTAGGTATTAAAATGTTTTGTTTATACTTGGATATGTGGCAAAAGCCCAAAAGTGTAAGGAGTAAGGACTATAAGGTTGTCCCTTACGCTTTGGGATGCAAAAACCGTTTATACAGTGTGGAAACCACTAAGAGAAAAAATTAATTTTGATGTTATTTCAAAAAAATCGTGATGCATACACGAAATATGGGAGCATGGCTTTGAATGACAAGACATGCCTCTCTTCAGGATACTCTAGTAGAGGGTAAATTATAAATACTAGGGTAGTACTCCAGTGGGGTTTTTTTTTTGTTACAAATATCCTATAGATAAAGACTAGACAATAATTTTTCATTTCAAACTCCTTTGTGCAGCATTCTCAAGAAATCGAATGTTTAAGAAACATACCTTAAAAAAATGCAGACCAGAGAGCCTGGGAGCATTTGAAAGGAGATCATCAGGACATCGAATTGGACCGACATAGCAATTTGTAGCTTTATTCTATTTTTTCACAGATAAATCTACTCTATTTCCTGGTCTAATTTTTTTCCAAATTGGGTATGAATGAAAGGTATATATATTTTTATGTCAATGTCTTATGAATTTCTGAAATAAAAACAAAATGAGGAGAATTCAACCTCATATATCATCCTCAATATATTCAACAGACTTGGCCACTAGTGATTTTTCATCTCTACATTCAAAGAAAATTTAGGGGACAACTATTTGCCAATAGTAAAGACACTGCATAGATGCGTAAATTGAATACAGGGGAATAAAAAATATAATAAAATTATTTCAAATATTCAATCAGTATCTAAAAAAATTCAGCCTGTTAAAATAAAATAATAATGTATTGATTATTAAAAAAAAACATTTTTAGTTACTTAGCAATTCCTAAAGTAATTGAAACAGAGATGCCCAACTGGTTATTGCGCTTAAAATAATAAGTGAAACAAAGCAATTTGATTTGAAGGATTACTTCTAAAAACTCACATGACCACCCATCGATATCCCTGTAATTCCCAAAGGTCCAAATCCTAGCTGCTCACACCAATTCAAAAGAACTAAACATTCTAATATCAAACAACCGCCCATAATGAAGATATCAGAAACATAATGTACACTAGATCTCTGCTGATCTTTAGGTTTTCTAACTCCATAAAAGGGATTTTCTAATATTATAGCACCAATTCCATCTTTGAGTAATGGTTTTGCCATTATATTGCGTCTCCGCCAAAAATACTGGAAACATTTGATGTTGATAAATTAATTTGTTCATGTGTGATCAAGTTTGACCTTACATGATCACCAGTCCCTGCTAGGTGAATGCACATTGGTTTGTAATTGCTTTTCCACTTTAAAGGTAAAATCATCTGAAAGTAAGAATCTTGAACTTCTTCGCGTACTAGCCCAGGTAAATGTAGAGAAAATGGACTTCTAAATTTACCCTCTATTATTCGACAATCTGATCTATTTACTACCTAAAATTTACATATGTTTCTAACTGAACACAATGTTATTTTTAATACAACTAAACTCACGTTGATGATTTTTATGGGATATTCTTTTGGCACTAATCTGTAACAGGTTTCCCTGTTCGATATCAATTTTCTGAAGTCAAATAATCTGCAATAATAGTATATTAAAAATATTAAATATTAATTATATTTCCTACAAAGTTGGAATATATCAATTTTTTTTGAAAGAAAATGAAATAGTACTTTGATGTTTTTATATCTATAACAACAATAAAATTTAACACAGCTCGTTTTACAATTTAAATTCTTTATAAAATCAAATTTAAAAATTTTTCAAGTTATACTCACTTGTGCATATTCTCAGGTGATCCCCATCCTTTGGTAAAATATTTACTTAAAAGAATTTTCCTGTATAAAACATCCAAACGACTTACTGACATATTTTATTGAGAACAACTTTTTAAATCCCCCAAACAAACATTTTTTTTAAATAAAATAAAGACCGCCCGGAACACCTACCTGCCCTTGCTCAATATAAATACGTCAAAGTCAAAAAAATGTCAAATAACTTTGCGTTTTTGTCCTTGGCACACATGCGTACGTTTATTTTTAGTCACGTTGCATTGGTTTAAGAATCAACTGCAGATAGGATTGACTAAACTATAACACGTAATACATCATAGCTTGACGTCACTGAAATGAGAGGATGTTTTCCGTAATCATGTTCTAATATTATCAGGGCCCCCGCTACCATATGTGCAAAGTGTGCAATGCACACGGGCGCCATCCTTTAGGGGCGCCAAAACCCAGGGTAAAAAAAAAAATTGCAGAAAAAACAAAAAATTAAATTTAAAATAAAAGTTGAGAAATTAAATAGGATTAGGTATAAATACACACGAAATTTTATTAGTATATCATCCAGTTACTGTCGATTCCTATGTTGCGAGAACATGTCAGGCGGTAGTTTCTTGATTTTTCCTGTTCAGACATGAATAATGTCTGGAGCACCATAAAAGCGATGCATCGCCAGAGGCGTTTTTAAACCGGTTAGTTCACTGGACCGTGCAACAAGTGCATAAAAACAAGTAATCCTATTAATTTTTACATTTAAAGTTATTTTTATTTTGTCAAGTGTTGTGTTGTATAATATTTTGTTTACTACTTTTTTTTTCTAAAAAATTAAGTGCTGAATACCTGCTGACTTTTATAAAATGGTAAGTGTTCCCTACTTTATACTCTCAACGTTAATCCTTTATAGGATACTGATTATAATTAATTTTTTTTTTACCCAAATATCTTTTTATTAATTATTGAAATATGCCATGTACGAGTTTAAAAAAGTAATTGGTTTTTTATCCATAACTCGCTTAGTTTTTATGCTATCGATCTTTTTAAAAAACCATTTTGTAGGGTTTTTTAAGGGCTATAAGATCAAATTAGTTTAATATTTTTTCTGCCTTTATTTTTGAAAGGGTTTAAGCTGAAAGGGCTCGAACAAATTGCTTTTTACTCAAATATGCAAACTTGGTGCTTATATCATTGTGCAAACTTTAGAAGTTAATTAATTAATTCACACGAGTACCAATTATTTATTTGTTTTTCAGGATAAAAGAAAGAGACCTTCAGGTGCGAAGTTTCGCGAGCAAAAGAAACTGAGACTACAAGAAAGGGAAAAATGGCTAGATCTTTAAAGCACTTCTTGCAAAACAATCAAGATTCCACGGAGACTATCGATGAGACCGAATTTCAAGATTCTAAATCCGTAATATCAGTAACCGTGAGTAGACCATCTGAAATTTCAACAGAGGCGACCACGGTAACATCAGGTCCTGCAACAAGTGGCGGCGGTTGTAGCAGCAAAACAGCTTCTACTGATGCAGAGCCCGATGAAGCGATGACACCATCCTCGTCTACAGCACTTGAACAATCCACTTCAGGTAATTCAGCTTGTGTAAAAAGTTCGGTAATGTCAGCTACCGAAATACCTGCTGCAAGTGACACTTTCGATGAAGGCTTTAACGAGGCTAGTGTCGATATAATTCCGTCCGACCCCAGTTTGTGGCCCGAGAGAATCACCAATGAGCTAGAATATTGGATAAACGTGGTCCGCCCTTGATAGACATCAGTTTTAGCTTTCCTAGTAATAAAGATAAGAGAAAGTTTTCGTGCAAGTACTTTGTAAGAAGACTAGCGAATGGAGAAAAAGTCGAAAGGACTTGGCTTATTTACTCTATTTCTAAAGATTTTGTATTTTGTTTTTGTTGTAAGTTGTTTTGTAAAACTCCTAACACTTTTTGGGATATAAATGAAGTATATCTATCTTTGCTAATGAAGAGACACGAAACCTCAATTTTACGCAACAGTTATATGAACACTTGGGTAAATTTAAAAAAAATGTTCGAGACATCTACGACTGTTAATGCTCATCACCTGCGGATTTTAGAAACGCAAACAAAATATTGGCGCGACGTGTTGGAAAGAATTATTGCGATTGTTCAGTAGTTATCTACACAATGCTTGGCATTTCAAGGTTCTTCTAAATTACTTTTCGAACATGATAATGGAAATTTTCCAAAAGCTGTTGAGGTGATTGCCTCTTTTGATTCAGTGATGAGACAGCACGATAGCCGAGTGTGTAACTCCCAAAAAAAATCTGTTCAAATGGCTCATTATTTAGGCGTGCAAATAGAGAATGAAATAATTGAATTATTGTCGTCTAAAGTAAAAAGTAATATTTTAGAAATGGTTCGCAGTTCAAAATATTTTTCAATAATATTAGATTGTACACCAGACACTAGTCATACTGAGCAAATTAGTCTTGTTAGGAAAGTTTTATTGCGTTATTTAATTCAATACTGGAATCTACAGGGGGAAGGGATCAACATATTTGTGACAGAAATTTTGAAAAAATTAAATTTAGATATAAAAAATATTAGGGGACAAGGTTATGATAATGGGACAAACATGAAGGGAAAGCATGTTGGGCTTCAAAAACGCATTCTTGATGCGAATTCGAGAGCCCTTTTTGTATCTTGTGGGGCTCATACTTTGAACTTAACAGTAAATGACGCTTCTAAGGTGTCAGATGCTACAATAAACTTGTTTAATCTTGTGCAAGAGTTATATAATTTTTTTCGTCATCCACAAAAAGGTGGGATGTTATAAGAAAAAATCTGATGTGTCCAACACATGACTTTCCTATCTAGTTATTACAGGCTTTTTCCGTTTATTGTGTACAACCTATTGCAGCATCTCTATAAATGTTTAGAGGATAAACTAAATATATATATACATTGTCCACATACATCTACCGCGAAACATTTTTCTATAGATATTCATTGAAAATGAAAATACTGAAAAATTTAAATTTAGCACTTTTCCTACAATTTTTCCATTACGGTCCATTTTAAAAAATCATGTATAAACAAATATTATAGAGATCGATATCGCAAACAACTTTTATTTCAACAATTTTCATAAATTTAAAAAAAAGACTGATTTGTATTTTTTTTTATAATTTTAAACATTCAATCTTTTGCGTCTTTTAATGCACAATGAATTATATTTCTCAAAAATTGCTTGTCTTGACTTTTTTTATACGAGATGATTCAGTCCAATAATAAAATAGTTGTACATTTGCTTTATAGTTTTGGGAAATTCTTCACACATATGATTATACCAAATGTATTGATAAACATGGAATTGAAATGCCATAGAAAAACTATTTATTAACATTCATGCACCATATATTAACTTTTAAATTTCATTAACAATAAAATATCATATATATACAGATTAATCAAAAATTTTACATACTTTTGTAAACAAAATATATGAGTATAAATACAATATTTCAAATATTTGTGAATAAGGTAATAACAATAATTTGATACATCTATAGACATTTAATGTAAATATTGACTGTTAATTTTCTTTAATAAATAGCAAAACCAGCCTTTAAATCGGGCGTTTTTCCCTCCTTGACAATCCTCAGTGCTCTGAGCACTGATACCTTATCAAGCTCTGCTTGCGATGGTTTTTCATTATCTAAACAGAGATTCTTTGCTCTATCTCCAAAATACTCTAATACTTTTACCCTGTAATCAACAGCAGTGGCAACATTGTTGCCAGTTAGTACCAGGTTTTCCAAACATGGCAGATCTCCTAGGAACTGAATATCTTCAACATTATTAATCTTATTACAACTTAAATCTAGTGTTTCTAGTGAATAGAGTCTGCTAAAAGCTTTACAACAGTTAATATTGTTTTGTGAAAGGTTCAGAGTTTTTAGGTTACCCACTCTTGTGTGCAAATCTGTACATATTGAAATTAAATTATTAGCTAGATTAAGCTGTGATAAATTTGGAAGGTGAGACAAATTGGTTATAGTGGAAATCTTGTTGTCATTTAGAGATAGCTGTGTTACTTTTAGAGCCAATTTGATTGTACTATCAATTTCTGTAATGTTGTTGCTGTTCAGATCCAAAATTTCCAAGGAGACCCATTTCTAAAAAAGGTTAACAATAAAAATAATAAATTTGAGAGTGTTCATATATATATACCTGACTGCCTTCAATGTTATCTTTATGAATTACATCACACTGCAAAACTTGAGATATAGTTGTGGCATTTGTGTGATTGACATGAAGTTTCTGTACAGTACATCTTATACTACCAAGAGAATTTAGGCTTTCAAATGCAACTTGTTTCAAATATAATACTTTCAAACACTAAAAAATAATAAAACATAATTTGTCTACATTCCGTAAGATTTATTAAACAGAAACTTACTTTAAAGGGTGACAGATCAAATTGTAACTTATTCAAAATAATATTGCTTCCTAAATATGGTTTAGAATCTCCACTAACTGTAATAGAACTCAACTGGGAACATAGATCTACCACTGGGCTAATATCAAATCTGGTTTCAGTTTGATCTAATAGAGGTTTCTTTAGAAACTCACTTAAAGCATGCAGCTAAAAAAGAAATATTAATTATTAATTTGAATGAAATATAGATAAAGAAACTTACTTCTAAAACTGTAAAGAAGTAGGTACTTTTGCTCGAGAGAATTTGGTCAGATTCTAAAAATAACTTTGCAGATAGATCTTGGAGTAGAAAGAAAATATCATAAAGGTTGAACTCTAGAAACTCAACAAAACTCTTTGGCATGGTACGTTTTAAAAATACGAGAGTTTTTTGTAAATATTCTTCCAGGCCTTTTCTTCTACTTTCGATAAAAATGGGACATTTATTCCGAATAACTTTTTTTGAGGGCAGAATGTCTTTGGACACACCATGGTCAATGACAAGCTGATTGTGGAGTTCGTAAAATTCGTTGTAACGATGAGCAACCTTCCAATTACAGTCGCCTACAGAAACTTTAATATTATAATAAGTTACATTATTTATTTCTTCAGTGGTGAATATGTTTATTGTGGTTTCCTTTGCATTTAACCAAAAACAAGCCATGTGCCATCAAAATATTTGCTTCTTTAATGTATCATAACCTGAAATAAATCACTTTATATTTATATAATAATATTTATGATATAATAGCCCATAATAACGCCTTTTAATTTTGTATGTACAGTACAGTAATTGTTTTATGTTGATGAATTAAAAAAATCACCTGTGCAAAATCGATTACGTACAGCAGCTGTCATCGTTAAATGTTATTTTTTTTAACATCGATTCTATTAATCGAATACTTATAGAAATTTAAAAATATTCAAATAGTATATATAACTATAATAATATTAACTAACAAAAAACAAGCATTTTGATCAACTATTTCCGTTTTATTTAATAGTAACCCTCTTTTATTTTAGAAAAAAATAATAAATTTTCAAATTTTTGATTATTGAATCGAATTGCAGGGTAACCAACTGCAATGTCAAATTATTTATACCACCCACTTTTATATAGAATTTAATAAAAGTTTATGATTATTTATATTGTATTTTGTTTGATACTTAGATAATTATTAATTAAAGGTATTAAACCAATTTTCTATGTTATGTGTGGTAAAATAGAGATGTATTAAAAAAAAACGGTTAATGTTGGTTACGTTGGCAACAGCTTGACGTTTAAGAATCTGATACATCTCTTGAATTTTGAGAGATCTTTTGAGGATTTTGACGTTGACGCCATTTTTTATTTTTTCTAGTGTTTTGTTTGTGTAGATCGTTAATTTGTGGATAAAAAAATAAGTAAAAAGGTTCCATTTAAATCCAACTTCCTCCCAGTGATAATTTTAGACCAAACTTATTAGTAAAGTCATAGTGAAAATTCCGAGAAACATCTTGATGTCACCACCAACAGAAGGCACCCTGGATTGATATTTATTTACTTATTTTCGTGTTGCTCAATACGTATTTTGTAAATTTGAAAAACTGAAATGGTGCAGCTAAAATTCCTTACATAATAAATTATGAATAGTGATTTTTGAACGTTCAATCTCACTTAACTACTAAATTGTTTCTGCAATGACAGGGTGCTAGTTTTGGGAACAAAACAAACATTTTAGCACTTCCTAGAATCACAAGTAATGCAGAAAATATGCACTAGCTTGAGTGTGTTAGAATTTGGCCTGAGATGGGGGACTATGAGCTGTACCAAGCAATTAAATCATTTACATCTTCCTCTTCTGCAGAAGATGAACTGGACTTTCAAAAAGGAGATGTTTTTGAAGTATCCATACAAAGCCCGTTTGAAGATACCCAATCAAATAGGCCTGGGTGGCTTTTTGCCTACAGCAGAAGAACAAATGGAGTTGGTTATGTCCCAGGTAGAGTGTGATAAATATCGAAAATAGGAACATTTTTCTGTTAAATGTGGTTATTAAAATTTATTTTTGTTAATGTTAACATTGTAGCCCTGTTCTAAAAACCTTTTTTGAACAGTTATTTCGATAACAAGCAACAATCTCTCTTTCAAGTTCCAAACCTTTTTATAAATTGTAGACAGTGTTTTTATATACAGAAACTCCAAATAACTAGGACTTGACAAATCATATTTCTACCATAATATCATAGTTATCTCATTTTTTTAAGGAAATACAGTATTATCTCCAATTTTTAACCACTCAGTGGTCATATTGCTATTCTTATCCTTTACAAGTTCCTGTGGTCCAAGAAGATATAAATTTATAAAAGAAAAATTTGCCATTTGTTGTTTAAATTTAAATATTTATTAATCATAATGACTTATTATTATTATTATTATTATTATTATTATTATTTGATTTATCTAGTGACAAATATTCTTATTTTTATTTTTTGTTATAGAAGATGATTCAGTCCTTTAATAACAAATAGTTCTATAGTTTGTACATTGACTTCGTTTTAGGAAAGTGCTCTGTTTGAAAAAAATAAGGAAAAGTAAGCTATCACTTTAATCTCCTTTTGTTTTAATAACAAAAACTATAATGAACCATGTGAATCACTATTTAAACCACTTATTATAATGACCCCTTTTTTTACAAATAGTATTTGAAATGCTGCTAGCTGTAAAAAATAATTTGTGAAATTTCACATGTCACTCATACTACATTACCAGAGATGGAAAAATCATCTAATCCAAACATGAACTAGAATAAGCTAGTTTCAAACAATAGGTATTTCCTTCTGTAATGCCCTTCAACCCCATATCCATAATAATCTACCAGGAAAAAAGTTTAAACAGCAAATTAAAAATGTATTTGTACAACATTAACAATTATTTTGTAAGAGTTAAACAGGTCAACTTTTATTTACAATATTTTTCTATCTTTTTATATTTATTACTATTAAGTATTAATCCTTATGATATTTTAAAATCCTGTTTAATTTTAAAGTTTTTTATTTTGTAAGTATGTAAAATGTGTATTTTACCAGTATTCTACATGAATGTAACTATTTAAGATGATGACTATTAAATATTTTATTTAAAGATTTATGCATTATTTCTATGAAGAAAATAATTTTCTTTTTAGGAGAGACATTACATTCTGGTATAATTTTTCTAATGTAGAATTTATTATATTTATATTTTCATTATTTGGTTTCTAAATTTTAATTCATTTTTTTTCGTTTTTAGTGGAGTATGTCAAACTCTTAGGATCAGAAGTAGGAAAAACAATACACCATCCCTCAGCATGTGGTGTAGAAGTATCAAAGCTAGGTAAATAACATTACAAAAATATATGAGTACAACCTTACCAAATTTGTGAGCAAGTGAGCAGGTATATAGAACAAACAAAAATTAAAGATATATCTAGTAACTGTATCTTGTTTAGTTTTATAAAGATAATCCACATTATTCCAAATTCAGTCCAATTATGCTCTTTTAACACTTAACAGGTTGACTGTGCCTTGGCGGTCGTAGACCACCGCTCAATATTCTACCAAATATTTGTATGCAGTTTGCTAGAGGTCATGATTAGATCAATTTTCACCATGGTATATGATAAGTGTGGCTTACAAGTCTATCTTATCAATGCCAGGTTCCAGGACCACTTGATAATAAAATAACAACTGAGTAGGGATATGTGAGTGCTCATCTACTTGGCACTTTAGGATTTTTTTGTAAATTGTATATGACAGACAACCTGTTAAATATGAGTTAAAAGATTGTTAGCAATTTTATCTTGGGGTAAATTATTAAAAACACCAGTTTACAAAAACCTAACTGTGCTTTTTGGAAAATTGCAGAGTGGTGTTGCAAGGTTTCTCAAGAAACCAGGAATCTTTAATTTTTGTTTTGTAAGGGGTTACATTATTGCCTTCCTTATCTGAGTATATAGCATTCTAGATTTAGTGCCATGGGATTTTTCAGATACTAATAACATGAAGAAAAATAGGAATAGGGCATTCAGTTTCGATGAATATCTAAATTGTATACATTCATTGTTTTATTAACCCTTAACTGGTCCGGCGTCGTCTGACAGACTACGCGATATAAACAATTCTTTCTTATTGGTTATTGGTACCTCCCATAGGAAGGTCCTTACATGTAGCTTGACAGGTAGCCATGTTTGCAATAGGCTAGTGTCAGTTTCCTAAAAGCTGTGGCAGAAATTAGTTCAAGGGTAGTGAACTTTAGCTCATGCTGAAAATCAAATGTTTTTTTAAATTTGTATTTTATGTAAGTTTTTGTTTACCTAACACTTTGACAATTTAATCTTGCAATATGAAATAATTTTTCTTTTCTTGTAGTTTTTGCCATTCCTTTAAAAATATGTACTTTTTCAAAATTTCTGTGCGGGTTTTAGTTTTGGGTTTAATTTTGTTTTTATTTAGTTTTAAATATGTTTATTTTTACATATTATTATTATTATTAAGTAATGTTTCTAACATGTTAAATAAAACATTTCATTTTGCCTATTTTATCATTTTTTTTTCCTCCGAAAACAAGTAGTCTCGCAGGCTACGTCAGACCAGTTACGTTACTGTAGAGTGCCGGACCAGTTAAGGGTTAATAACTGAATTATATTTAGAAATTATTCTTTGTGTAATTAATCTTTGTCCATTTAGAAATTATAGAGCAATTTCAACTAAACTATAATTTTGATAATTATTTGATCTTCAACTCTATCATTTTATTAATTAGCATAATTTTATTCCTCTTCATTACTCTTATTACAACTTGTTTAGTTACATCCACTTGTAATTTTATTCAATCAAAACAAAGTGGAACTTATCAATGCAATTGCTAAGCATCATCAATAATTTGAGTATTTTTAAACAGATATCAAGTCTTTGAATATAAAATTAATAAACCAAAATTTATTCTTTATGTATTTTCCATAAATTGAATGAATGTGTTTTAAAAATATTAATGCATATCTTTTAGGTTTGTAACCATTAAGATTAACACAGTACATTCATTTTAACTTGTCAAATATCTAAAAGCACCAATTTATCATCCAAAAACTTTAGCAACATCTAAAGAAGGACAATTTCTAGAGAAACTTATATGATCTGCTACTTTTGAAATTATTAAACTCGGAAGTCACAATATCATTATTTAAATATTATATAGATTTACACCAGCTCTGTTATTATTTTAACTGGAAATAAAAGATTACTATTCAATGTTTGTAAATTAAAAAAAAATTCAATGTCATACTCCTATTTAATTAAATTTATGTTAAACTACAAATTAATAGGTTATAAATCGTGTGTAAAATTAATTATTGTAGAAGAAACTTCATGCTTCACATTGTTTAAAGGACGATCTGAAGGACTCAATTGTCAAAATTTATTTGTAAAAACATCATAAATATTAATTTTAGTATTTTTGAAATACAGATGCTTCATTTTTATTTTCATTGCCTGTTCCGAGCATATTGTATTTATTAGTAAATTCAATTTGTGCATCTATAAAAGTATAATTTCTTCTCCGCTTCAGTGTTTATATAAAAAAAAACTATTAATGATAAATCATCCACGAGTAGTTTCATTTACTTAAATTATTCAAATAATCATAAAACTGGACACGTTAATATAATATGTTAATAGTAAATATGCAGAATGGAATAATTTGCGCCTACAACTGGTTTTAGAAGCAATCCTCCAATTAGCATAATCTTAAGTTTCAAAATATACAGGATGGTTTTGTAACACCATCAAAAGTCAGATTGTTGAATTATCTAAATAAATTTCTACAATAATGTGTATTCTAATGACACCAACCATAACATATAAAACATGATCTTTTTTGCAATAAAAAACATCACTAACATCCAAATTCACAATGCATTTTTAAATAGTTAACTACATCTAAAACTTTAAACATAGAAATGTCAATTCAAAGAAAAATTATAGTTGAACGAATTGAAATAAATGAGGTAGGGCTAGTGATGTAAAATACCCAGGTATTTATTTTTGCCGGAAAATATCCAAAATGGGTAAATTTCTTAATATCTATTAAATTTAAGCAATTTGTATGAAAAATATTTATTGAAATTAAAAAACATTTATTCCACAATATCTTAATTATCTGGTTGGACATTAGAAATGTCCAATTGTGGGCCAAGTAGGTAATTTTGGCAGTTCTTTCTGTAGTCAATCGATTTCTTTTTTACTATAAATCTAGCTGAAAGTGCTAAAGGATCGTTCAGTAGCAACAGAAGTTACAGGTGCACTCATAATTCTAATTGTAACGTCTGCTAGTAAATTTGTGCCACGGATACCTCTCCACTAAGTAAGAGAATTGATCTCTTTCATTCCTTCCCAGATGAACCTTTTCGACCATATGCCTTCCTTATCTCTATAATCTGCTAGAAACCTCTAATTTCGCAGATTTTTAGTCCCATTCCTATTTTTGTAGCTGTGTCAATTATAAATTCTGTGGCATCTATTATTTCTTCTGCAGTCTGGATCCAACATGGTTGCAGCTAAATGTATTTTTCCTATTGCAAAATCTTTTCTTCCACTAATTTTTTTTAGTACCAAAGTTTCCTCCACTTTTTTCAGTGGAGACTAATCAACAATTGGCCTCAAAATATTTATCATTTTGTCAACTTGTACCCAAAATATAGAATCGTTAAGTAATAAAGATTTTAGTTGTTTTAATAGTGTTACAGATACTTCGTTTATTGCAAAATTTGCACACCACTGCTTTTTCTTTTTTGTTGTAAAATTGTAGTCAACTTTTCTTCTTCTACCCATAATGTGAGTGAAGATTGACTATGGGTATTAACAAATAATATCACCTGCTTTGTAGATCGACTATAAGTAATAACATCCTTGTCGTGACTGCAAAGTGTTATAACATAACACATATTCAACAAACATTAAATTATTTTAGGTTATGTTTTTGGTAGGGGTAAATATCTCTTGGAAAAATACCGGGTAAATACCCATCATTTATTTACCTACACACTGGGTATTTACCCAACTCACATCACTAGGTAGGGCCTTCTCCCACATAATTGTAATCAATTTTTTTAAAGCCCCGGGATTTTGCTACCCCTGCTCTCCCACTCTTTGGGCCTATTTATTTGTAATGGATACTTCTATATACTATGAAAACGCTTTGTTAAAAATTGTACATTCTGTTAGTTATATTTAATTTTGACAAGAATGTCGACACAAACCCTTCGTAAAATCTGCAGACTTACTGTATTTAATTTAATTTTCCGAAATGAATCCTTTTTCAAATTACAAAATTTGTATTTTATGCAAAAAAAATCGGATGTTAACAACACGCCACTGTAGGTTTTTTTTTTGGAAGATCTCATTGCAAAATGAGGTAGTGAATTAGAGGAGAGTAATTTGTTTTTGAACCATCCAGCAACATCTTATAGAAAAATCAAGAAATTACATATTACTACGTGGACAAAAACATTTTTTTAAAATTTTACCTGTATTATTTATTTATTCATTCGCCATTGAAAAGAGGAGAATTCAAGGTACATTTAAAACTTGTATCTAAAAATTTACTAAAAAAGTAAATTTCAAGGTGTTTGTATTCTTTTAATAATAAATAATATATAAATTTTATTAAAACGTATTGGTTGATTGTTGACAGTTGACATTTTATAAAGTTCCGTATTGTTACTTTTTATTATGTTAAACATTGTCCACTGTAATGCCATCCAGATTACCCCCAGCACAAGAAAATGTCCGGAAAATATACAGGTTGCCATGGCAAAGTTAAAAAATTATATTTTATTGGTTGAACATTACTAGCGTGAAATTTTCGCTAATATTTTTCGGAAAATTAATTTCTAATGAAGAAAATATAACTTCATCATTAGTTATAGTTACTAGCTCTTTACAGTAGTTTAGAAATAAATATAAATTGAGGTACACACCAGTTAAATAAAATCGTGAAGGGGTTATTCCTAAACAGGCAAGTCAGGCAACATTAGTGTTTGTTTAGGTCATTAAACACAAAACTGGTCCCATCATAGATAGTTGTGGAACATCAATTGTTTCTTTTTGTATTCTTAATTGGATATAGTTATAATGTAAGTTGAAAAAAAAACTAGTCGTGGAATAAGTATCATTTTAATGCAACCTAAAAAAGGTGATATCTCAAGTATTTTTTATTCTGCACAAATGAAAAAAAATTATTTTTTTTTTTGCAAAAAAACTACATTTCTTAACCCTTGTATTTTTTGCGTATCTTCTTTAATTTTTGAGGTATTGTGAAAAATAGAATTCTTTTCGAAATTTTCAAAAATTGTTTCAAAATAGAATCAAACTTTTTTCCAATCTAAGCATTCTAAACCGTTCAAACTTCTAGAACATATCGTTAGTTAATTTTAAGTGGATAACATAATTTTAGTTCTTGCAGATAAACTATTGGCTTCATCGCTGAGTTTTTCTCCGGAAAAACAAGACAGCCACTTTATTTTCATAACAATAGAAGAGTTTGAGTGTAATAATTTCCAACCATCGAGACGAGGGACATCCACCCCTGAGGTGAAAGCGCACATCGGCACTATATAACTTTTCTTCCTTGAGCCATTCCTTACTGTCCAACTTTCACGTCAATCGGTCTAATCCGAAAGAATTTCGTCAAACACTGAACTATTTTCAGATATTTGAGTTTAAAGTTTCTTATTTAAATAGTTCACCATAGAACATAGATATTTTATCTGCTGGTAACATCTTTATTTGAAAAAAATACCAAAACATGGCATAGAATGAATTTTAGGTACAATTATTTAAAAATAAATGTACATCGGCCCTTTATCCACTTACGTTTTCGATTAACGTAATATAATTTCACGTATGTATATGTTGCATAACCGGTATTTTTTTGTTCATTCAAAACAATGAAGCCTGTATATAATAAAAGAAATTTCAAAGTGCCCCTCGTATCTATTACTTTGCTCACTTAGAGAGTAATATAATTATGGTTTGATTTATCTGCGTATATTCTTTTTCATTTTCTATTGTTCCGTAACATGGGTGTTTGTTTCAGAAGTGGAGAGCAAGCCCAAGCACAAGCTAGAAGAAGCTTTTTTTCTGACTCCGATTCTATGCAAGCATTGTAAGTATTTTTTAATTTCTTTGGGAGTGGTACATGGGCGCCGCCAAATTTTTTCTTTTTTTTTCCAGACTGGGGCAAATATACAATTTTGTAAATCTAACTTTGAAAGAATACATGATTAATTTTATTTATGAGTGCCACAGCATTTCCGGTTTTTCATAACATGATATAAATTTGAATTTTAGTTAATCCTTTCCTACATAGATGTAGCTACAATCTTTATTATTCATAATTTGTCCATTATATTACAAGAGTCGTTCAGCTAAATAATACCAGCAAGCATAGTTTTATTTTATGTTCTAAATTAAGTTCGTCTGGTGGGAACGATTTTATTGGTAATTATCTAGTAATCCAGGACTTATTCTATTTTTATCGGAATTAAGTATTTAGCTGGCTAATTAGGGTCTCTGGTACTTTCCCGAAGTCTGGGCCCTGATGTTTTTTTTAAGCTTATTTCCACTGATTGGTTGATAAAAGTTGCTATTTTAAAATTTCACTTATTTTTTTTTGCAAACTTGAAGATGACCTTCCTCCATCCACCTCTATGACAAGTTTTATTATATACAGTGTTTAAATTGGAAATTAGACAGTTTTTAAAAATTCTCCAATTTTTTACCCAAAGTACTTTGATTACAAATATTTTCCAAGAATAATTGTTTACTGATATCTAATAATATTTTCATCATTATTATTATTATTATTAGTTACAGGATAAGTCACACAAAACTGAAAATGGAATTTTAAATTTTTAATTCAAAATAGGAATATTCTCCAAATTAATGTCACCAATTAAAAAAAAAATGCTTTTTACCTGACTCCTCCAATATTGTAACGTATTAATATTAAAAACAAAAATGTCACTTTACGAAAAAAATTAACATACAAAGTTTACTCTCGAAATACTACTCACAGAAAGTCTTTATTATTTATTATAGTTTTAATTTATTTGTTAACCAGAAAGGTAAAAAATTAAATAATAAACTAAAAAACGAACTTAAAACGTATATTTTGTATAGTGTCTTCCACGCTGCAGAATCGATAGTCCGATGTTTGTTGCAGACCTATATTTCTCATGTGGTTACCTGTTTGTAACGTGTGGAGGGTGGGTTACCCCCACGGCACTTAGGCCTCATTAGGCCCATTGTGCATCCTCCTGAGATGATAGGCACCTCCTAGCTCGTGAGTCAGCCTACAGATTTAATGTAGTTGACATTGTCGCCAAGAGGAGCTTCTCTTAAATCGGCCGGTGTTGGCCGATATTCGCCGAACACAAATCTTCTAATAAATGAGGGCGCCGAGCAATCGTAAAGGATATGCTCGATGGTCTCATCTTCTTGTTTGCACCCTCTGCAGAGTGCGGATTTTGACAGCCCTATAATATGAAGATGCTTTCGTAGTTGGCAATGACTAGTCAGAATGCCTGTGACTAGGCGCAGATTCTGTCTAGTCATAGTCAAGTATTTGTTTGCTGCAGTGTTGTCAGAATAACTTAAGAGCTCCCTGGCAACTCTACAGTTTCTTGTTTCATCCCCATCTTTCCTTGAATTTCACAAGGGAATGTTCTTTGATTAGGTCTGTCACTACCAATTTTGTCAGGCCAATAGAAGGGCCAGATCCAAAAAGTATTTGGTTGGCTGCTTTCTTGGCTAGTGAATCAGCAAGACGGTTACCTTTCGATGTGGCGTGACCTTTGATCCATCTTAAGGTGACCACATTGTTGATGGATACTTCGGCCAAAACTTCGTGACATTCTAGTAATAACCCTGAGTAAATTCGTGGTCTGTTCAGGGTGAGTAGTGCTTGTCTGCTATCTGTATAGATGAGCATGTTCCTTCCAGTGATATTGTTCCTGGTTATTGCTTTTGCTGCTATGAGAATCCCCGTTAGCTCTGTTTTAACTACACTTGCACTATTGCTCACAGCCCATTTTATGTTTAGGTTTAAGAATCTGGAGTATATTCCACATCTTGAGTCTTGTTTTGTTTTAGAACCGTCGGTGTAGATATGAATCGTACCTGTCACTTCCGGCTCTTCTATTTGTTCTACTATAACTTTATATGGCTTATGGAAAATATATCTCAGTGAGATGGAGTCCATGTTCGCTTGAAGCAGTGGTAGCGTATCGAGCGCCTCCTGCCAAAAGCGACGTCTCGCCTCACCAGATCCTACATCAGGTTTTATTCCAACTGTGCGGAGGCGTGTCATTGTCGTCAGAGCAACCTACTTGATGTAAATATCAAGGGGAGTGAGACTAAGAATGACTTCCATGGCTCTGGTCGGTGTTGTTTTCATGGCTTCTGTTATGTTGAGATAATGCTGTTCTAGTTTACGGATAACTGTTAATTTTTGGGTTTTCGGTACCCAGACAACTGCACCGTATGTTAGCATAGGTCTTATGAAGTCCATGCGATGGCTGGTGAAACCCTAGGTGCGCCCCACGGTTAGGCAGCATTGTTCATAAGCAATGTATGCTCTTTTAACTCTGTTTTCTAAATGCGAGTTCCATGTTAACTTGCTGTCACAGGTGATTCCTAGGTACTTCACCTCTGTTGCAAAGTTTACTTTTGTGTTTAGGAGTTCTGGAGGTTTTAATTCCATTTTAATCCTTTTCCTTGTGAAATTGTGTAGTGACTGTCATTATTGAGGCGGTTGTTAAGGGTGTCGAGGACCATATTCCACAGTAGAGGTGATACTGTGGTTACCTTGCAAATTTATCTTTCTATGTTTGTTTCTTGTAACGTTTTAAAAAATAATCCTGTTAATTATGTTTTGGGAGGGTAATTAATCTTATTACCCCCTTATCTATTCCCTTGGCACCGTATAAATCTGATGAACCTGGGCCCCTTGTTGATCCATGTACGGCGCAGGCATGGCGCGTCATATTTACACGCACTTTGAGAAGTATATGTAGACTTTATAATTAAATATTATTTTACGTTTATATGAACACTTCTTTACTGTTAGATATGAACTGAATGACAAAGAATGTAGAATCATTACTGTGTATAATTCAAGATCTATAAAGTATTTGCACTCTAGACTAATTTGACTCAACTTTCTGAACGAGAGTAGCTAAATGTCCAAATTGAACGCTTGACTGTTCTTGAACGAACCAAGACCAAATTGATCAAGCACTCTTTTTGGTCGTAGCGTGTTTCCTGAAGGCGCTGCAGGCGTAAAGGTAAGTTAAAGTAGAGTTTGTATTAGTATTATCTAGATTAATACCTAAAATTCCTAACAAACTAACTATTTGCTTTGCTTGAAGAATGTCAGAATAGAATGTAAAATTCAATATAAAATTATCACAAGATGCGGTAATGGTAATAATTACCCTATTGGTGAATAGTTCCTACTAGTATTGGTTTTCAATTTAATAATGAAAAAATAAATATCGTGCGTTCGCGACAAGAATCATATTTTTTTTTGACAGATTACGGTGTTAATTTGCATAACGCAGATGTTTTGCGTTTTAATAATTATTAGTCAAATAAAATGTATTAAAAAATAAAAAAAACTTTTGGTATTTTTTCCCTTGGCTGTGACTGAAATTTTATTTAAAATATATCACGAAACACCACGCCTTAAAATTGTCTGGCGCCTAGGGCCTCATGTCAGGTAAAACCGGCCAATGAAAGTTACTATTGTCAGTGAGGGCTACTAGATTGTCAGTGAGGGCTACTAGATTGTCAGTGAAGGCTGCTGTATTGCCTAAGAGGGTTGCTGCATTGCCTAAGAGGGTTGCTTTATTGCCTAAGAGGGTTGCTGCATTGCCTAAGAGGGCTGCTATATTGTATAAGAGTTTGACTAATATTTTTTGATCTTTGAATTTTGGAGATTATTTTGTTTGCTTACGTTTCCTTCTTCCCTTATTATTATCATCAGTGTATTTCTTATTGTGCTGGCACTGTAACTGGAGCTTAAGGCATAGAGCTATGTTGCAACCACCGTGCTTATCACTGTGATTATTTTTCACCACTTCTGATACTATTTTACTTTTAAATGAACATTACTGTTATTAGATATGAACTGAACTTATCAAGACTTTAGTCCAGAATGAACAATCTAATTGACGAAGAGTGCTGAATTATTACTACACTCTGTTCGCTATACTTACGCGGGTTTCGGATTAAATTTTTTATGAGTATTTCCAGGTAAGTACCCGAAAGTTTGACCTGTTCTTTGGGGAAATATCAACTGGTTAAATGATATGAAAAATAATGTACAACTTTTTAATTAAATAATAATGGAGAATATCTTGTATAATTGAGAGCATAATTAAACTTCTTCATTAATGGAGTCTAATGTGGCTATTATAAACCTAATAATAATTTTATATTACACTTCACACAGAAAATATGGTCTACGTATAATAAGAGGGTTATTTAGCTAAAATAAAATAATTTCTAACATAAAAATTTGTTCCATGTAGAGAATTTCAAATGAAAAATAAAAAAATTGAACTTGCCAACAAAAATGAAAATCAGTCATCATCCAAAATATCATAATCGTCATCATCATCACTGTCATCACCATTAATTGTTATTATGATTGGACTGATTTCGTTTATTTTATTTTCACGAGTCCACCAATCTTCTATTAGTTTCTCGCACTTGGATATACAGTTCCGCCACACTTCTGGAGTTGCAATTGAAAGTGCTTTTCGCCAAGTTTCCCGAACTGCGTCGTCACTATAACCATTAGGCCCAATATGGTTGTCATAATATTGTTTTGCTATTCCCCATATATATTCGATGGGATTAAACTGGCAATGATATGGTGGCAGAGGTAAAACTTGATGATCGTAACTTTCAATAATATGATCCACAACAAAGGTTTTTGGTTTTGCGTGTATATTTGCCAAGCGTAATAGTTCTGATTTTAATATATATTGAGGAAATGGTATATGTTCCTTTGTCAACCATTCTTTAATTTTATCAACAGTCCAAGAATTCGTTGGACTATTGTTTAGTACTTCAGAATGGTAAGGTGCGTTGTCTAAA